GAGTAAAACTTGTTTATTTTCTTCTTTTTTCTTCAAAGAAAATATTTAACTTTTCCCTTTTCCTGACTCACAAACTTCCCTGTGTGGGATGTGATACTGCTTTTAAATGCAGAGGGCCAGCTGGCAGCCCCTGCTCAGACATTTGTTGGTGGCTTTCTGAAGCCTGTCAGAAATCAGCTGTTTGCTGATACCACTTTCTAACACTTTGATGGAATTTTCTTTTATCCATTATCCCACCCAGCCTTGCTGTTTCTCATTTCCAACTGCTCTCCTTCAGGCAGGTTTGTTAAGAACCAAAATTTAAATGTTGTAAATGTCAAAGTGGAATATTTAAACATTGTTTCATTTTTAAAGTTAACTTTTCAGTTTGAATTCCAGGTTAATTTTTAATTTAAAACTTAATTTTTTAGTTAATTTTTCCCCTCTAAATCAAACTTTTAACAGTGTTTGATTTTGCCACTTAAACTATTTGTTCAACATTTAAATTTCGAGTCATTTGGGATGTAAGCTTTTCTTAAATTCTTGTATTGTCAGTCTTATACTTCTGGAAGTTTGAAATTCAGTGGGATGAAATTTTTTTAACTTTTAAAGAAAAAAAAAACCACCTCAGAATATTTATGCTAAAGAGGCTCCAGGGGGTAAAATGAAGCCAAATGCAATCACAGTGATATATAAGAACCAAAATCCTGCAGGAACATGGATTTTTTTTCCTCAGAATGGAATGACATTCATCACAAGGTGCTGAAATACTGATATATAACTAATATCAATCCTTTCCCTCTCAAATTGTAGGTAAACTGCACTTCTTTTCTGATGGCATCCTCTTTGCTCATCCCCACCACGGCAGCATTTCCATCTCCAAGAACCACATGAGTTCCATCTCCCTCTATGATGGGGTGAGTGTTTGCTCTGCTTTTACTGCCAGCAACTCTTTATCAATCTTTAACAATAATTCTGGTGCAAAAATCTCCATTTCAGCCCCATTTCTGTGTCTGTACAACTGTAATAACTGGTGCAAATCTCCACACTTGGTGCTGGTTGACTTAACAAATCAGTGATTAGTGAGTAAAGAGAAGGGAATTTTGTACTAATCTGGGTGAGCAGTTTGGTGTTAATAGTGTGAAAATTGCTTTTGATTGAAGGAAAGGCTGAGGTGTTCTGGTGTCAGGTGGTGTTTGGGAGGGTGAAATGCTGCCTTTTATTCACATTATATTCGAATCTCACTTGTTGTGGCTCAGTGGGAACCGAGAGGTCCGTGGTGGCAGCTCAGCTGATTTTTCCTGCTCCAGGCAGCCACTCTGGGTTTAACTATCACTCCTTCAGAGTGCAAAAGAGATTTTTTGGGTTGGCTGCTGTTTTCCTAAAGTGGGGAAAATCCCAATTTCCTTTAGTTGCTCTTTTGTTGGGGTACCTCCATGTATGATTTCATCCTCTAATCCAGGAAAGCAGTGAACCACGACCCCAGTGTGTGATCCAAACACATTCCAGCCCAGGGAATCTCACCTGAGCTGCCTTTCCTTGGACATCACAGGCTGCCCCTTGGAGTTTAAGAAGCTATTTTAACACTGACCTTCCTTCTATTGTTTGAGTCAAGACACTCACTTTCAGAAAGCTTCCTATTTCTGGGACCTGGCCATCCCTGCTGAACTGGTGCCAGATTTTTGTGTGAGGCAAAGCCTTGACAGGGAGAATATTATTGTTCTACTGACTTGGCATAATGCAAGGGTGGAGGGTTTGAACTGCTCAGAAGCGACAGGAGAAGCAGGGTAATTGTTCCTTCCTCTTTTCCAAGAGTTACTGCAACAGTATTCATGGAAAAAGAAAGGTTAACTTAATGCTGGGATTCAAATAAAAGATACAAAGGCTTGAGGTGATGCAAAGTGCAGGTTTTTAGCAGCTCTGTCGCCGTGTTCTGCTTTTTAACTTGAAAATATCTGAGCTTTTGCTTCAACACGGAGAAACTGGGCACAGAGCTGAGCTCCTGAAATCCTTGAGGCTCGTGGACATGGAGACAGAGTGGATTTTGGCCATTCATCAACAAATATTACCAAGTAATATTTAGATTTCACACCATTAACATCTCGTAAAACTTGGAACCGGCTCCTTTTACCGTCGTGTCCGTGGGGATTATTGCTGCTGCTTTTTGGCTTTTTTCAATTTTGTGGAGCCCCAAATGTTTTCCAGGAGGAGGAGCACATTTGTTGGACACTTCACAGGTGTATGAGTTGGCCTTTCAGCCACATCCCAGGAAATCTCTGGGCCATCCTGCAGAATCCAGGATCTGTGGGTTCTTAGTCCCAAAAACCATTTTCTTTTAAGAGAAATTGTTCTCTCGTAGGAGAATATTTTTTGTGTGTTCCTCACTCACCTCAGTGACTTTGAGAGGATTATTTTTATAATTAATCCCTCAGTCAGCAAAGGATGAAGATTCTGTTTGCAAATGTCTCTGAATTGATAGCAGCTCTTATGTAACAGTTCCCCAACTTGAGCTTTTTCTTCTCCAGAATTAGTACATTGAGTTCCTTGCCCAGTTCTGTTGACAGGGAGGTGGATGACATTCACTTTCTGGTTTGAACCCTAAGGCATGGAATCCCTGTTTCCCAGGGATGTTTCATGCTGGCAAATTGTCCTGATTTTCTAATACTTTGGTGTGACAAGAGTTCCAGGTCCAAGCTTGAGCCTGTCTTGAAATCCAGAATCACAGAGTCGTGGAAATGGTTTGGGTTGGAAGGGACCTTAAAGCTCATCCAGTTCCAACCCCTTGCCATGGGCAGGGACACCTTCCACTATCCCAGGTTGCTCCAAACCCTCTCCAACCTGGCCTTGGACACTTCCAGGGATGGAGCATCTAATCTGGGAAAAACAAACAAAAAAACAACCCCCAAAAGACCAAGGGTCAGTGTTTCATAGAACAAAAATCAGACAACCTGAGTTCAGTGCTTCTGAGGGAGACACAACTTGTGGGCTTCAGGGTCCTGTTGGTGAAGACAATTCAGATAAAAAAGCAAGAAATTTAGTAGAACTTGTGCTCAGTGAAGAATCTGAGAGAAAAGGGGCACTTCCAACATGCAAGTGAGCTGCTCTTTGAATGACAGGCCTGAGAGTTGTGACTTGTGCCAGAACGGCCCCTGTCAGGTCAGAAGCTGAAGAGCATGGTGCAGAAACTTTGCAATAGCACCAAACTTCCAATCTTTTTAGTTATTTTGAAGCATTTAAGTCATTTGAGGTGGCATTTCATTCATTCTCCATGTGGTGTCTGTGTCAGAGGCGTGTGGGTGTGGATGAAGAAGAGTTTGTTGGGAAGCATTAACAGAAGAAAGGTCTATTTTTTTTTTGATGGGGAAAAGAGTAGATATTAAAAAGCAAGCTTTTCTTTTCAAGACAAAACTTAGGTGTTTAGAAGCATCTCAAATCCTTTATTTTAAGCTTCTGATGTCTCCAGAAGCTGCAAAATAGGAATTCAGGGGGCCTATAAGTGGCTTCAGTTGACCCTTGTGCTCCATCCCTGTGCCATGGAAACTCAGGAATGCCCAGCTCTTTGTGCCTGGGGGTGACTGTAACAGTTTTTTTCTCATCTCTGCTGTTTAATGCATGAAGCCTTTTTTTTGATTTTCAAGAACTGTTAATGATAACTTGTCCTGTTTTTCCCATTTCTAGGATTCGAACAGTGTTGTTGCTGCTCTCTTCATAGACTTCAAAAGTTCCCTGCTTCCTCACCTCCCAGTTGAATTCCATACCCAGAACAACTTTCTGATGATTGCACTTTTCCCCAAAAGAAAGATTTATAAAGCTTTTTACTCACAGGTAAAGGAAAAAAAAAGATTGGTAAGCTTTCCTTAAGTTCTTGTATTGTCAGTCTTATATTTCTGGAAGTTTGAAATTCAACAGGATGAAATTTTTTTAGCTTTTAAAGAAAAAAAACCACCTCAGAATATTTATGCTAGAGAGGCTCCAGGGGGTAAAATGAAACCAAATGCAATCATAATGATATATAAAATAATATATAAATCATGGGGAACCCCATAATTCCTGTGTTTAAGATGAGACACAAGGGTGAGTTTGGTGCCTGTATTAACTAAGTTTGGAGAGAAGGGGTTTATGTCTCACATAAATTGAGCCACTAAAGCTTGTTGCCTGATGAGTAAATACAGGGAGAGTTAAAATTCTTTCATCAGTCTTCACAAACAAAACCTTTTCAACGTAGAATCAATATAAAATCTGCTGCTTTGGGATCTCCAGGGTCTCTCTTCCAACTGGGAACTCTGATTCTTTGTGTGACCTGTGGCATCTGCCTTGCAAACTCAAGCTTATCAAGGCCTAGACCATCCCAGGAGTGTTATTGCTCCTGATCTCAGGACCTTGCATGTGTGAGAAGCCTGAATTTCTGTCTGAATTTCTGGGGTGGGGTGGTGTTTGTGCAGTTTAATGCTCCCCATGTGCTTCCCTTTGCCTGCTCTGAGAGCTCCTTTCCTGGGAGCTGCATTTCCATGTGTGCCCTTGGCTGCAGCAGTTCCATGGAGTGGCAGAGGTTCTATTGTGTGGGGGTTTTTTTTGTGGTCAGACACGTTGGGATCCCGGTTCTTAGGGAAGTTCTGTGGAAGGCTTTAAGTCTCCCATATGGCATTGTGTTGTTCCCTAAATGGATTGGCCTCATTCAGAGTGCTGCAGAGGCTTTTAATAAACCCAGCTTGGGAACAATGGTGCTTTTGAGGAAACGAGCCTGGAGATTTCAGGACTTCACAAGGGCTTTTTGGGATGTGATCATCACACTGGACTGGGAAAGACCACCTAGCTCAGTGAGTAGTCCCCACTGGAAGTATTAATGGCACCATAAAATGTCCCCTCCTTTTATCTTAAGTGTTTAAATTCTTCCCACTGTTCCACTCTGTGAATGGCTGGGAATCTGTTTGTTTGGTTTGGGATTTTCAGCCTATTTTATGAGTTCTACTTTTATATCTGTTTTATTTTTCTCTCCTCTCCCAGCACACACCCTTGAGATATCCAGAAATTTCAGACCTATTCTTTCTGCCTTATTTGGCCTAATAAAATAAAACCAGATCCTTTGTAATCTGTGCCTATAAAAAGTTCTCTTTTCTTCTGAGTGTTGTAGTGCTTTTCTTTTGATCTTTTTTTTTGGCTGTAGACATCCAAACTGTGTGCAGTGTCTGAGATCATAGAATCATAGATGAGGGGGTTTGTTTCCTGTACAGAGGCATTAACAATTCCCTGCTCTGAAAATGTTCTGAGATCCCCTTGGTTTGCCTTTACTTTTCACTGCTGCCTTGGATTCACAGATTCACAGACCTTCAGGTCCTTCCTCTCTTGCCCATTGATGTTCCAGCTGATTTTAGAAGCATTTCTTCCTTTCATGCCTACCTTCCTCTTATTTTTCCTTCCATTTCCTCCAAGAATGTTTCTAGCATTCTTAAATTTACTTTTCCATGAGGCATCTCCCAGCTTAGCTCCCCAAAATGCTGTCAGTTCACTTCAGCCTCCCGAATTCATTGCAGAGGATATCCCAGGGCATTCCCTGAACAACTCTGCTGCTGGACTTGCCCAGCCTCTGCTGCTTTTTCTCAGAGCTATTTATCCCTGTCCTCTTTTAAATTCACTTTTTACCACACAGGGGTTCAGTTTCTGCAGTTGAAGCTTCTCATCTGGCCCCACACCAAGTCACTTTGCTAAAATTCAAGTCAATAAAACAAATCCTTTTGTCTTAAAGATGTTCCCTCCTGAATAAAAACTCTCCATCAGGTGGAGTGGCCCCAGCTGTGTGAGCCTTGGAAACTTGTTGTTGTGGTTTGTCAGTTTTTACCTTCAGGTATTTATTGATTTGCACCAAAATTCTCTCTATAAATCCACGTGCCCTTGAAGTCTCACAGATCCCAAGGATTCACTAAGATGGAGGTGCTGGTTTTACTCCTCTAAATCATCATACCTCACTTGTTGGACCTGTGCTTGGATTATTCCAAGCTTCCTGGAAACAGGGAATGGCAGATACCTGTTCCTGCAGACCTGGGTTTGTTAAAAACTGAGGTGGTGGCAGGATTTTGAGCACACAGAGCTGAAATCTGGTTGTACAAATCCTGTGAAAATGGGACAAAACCTTTCACATCCTCCCTCTCATGGGTAAGGGAGAAAGATTTGTTCAGGCTTTGGGATGTGTTGATTTCCCTTGTTTTCTCCACCTTCTCTAAAGCCCACAGCAGCTCTTTTGCCTGACCTGTGTTTTCACTTCATCCCCAGCCCTTTTCCTCCTCCAGAATACAATTTTCCCTTCTTCCCATCCCTTGGAGGCATTTCTTTTAGTCTCTCCTACATCTTTTGAAGTGGCTGTTTTTTTTTTTTTTTTTCTGGTTGCCTGGATCTTTCTGCACAGGCAATATTGCCTTTGTTAAGATCAGAAAGATCTTTTATTCTGCTGGTTTTTTATCTCCTGCCCTGGTGTTTGGGATGCTGATTTGTTAATGGGAAGCAGTTGTCTCCCCTCCAAGTTGTTTTGTCTCGCAGAAAGTTATTGTGAGAAATGACAATGGCTGTTGCCTTTTCCTTAGGAAAAGAAGGGAAATACCGAGCCCTGACTGTGTGATTCATCTGAATCTGATTTCTAGGTTCACAGTGCCAGTCAGATTAATGTGCCTTGGCTGGAGCAATGGGATGGGAGCCAAAACATCACTCCCTGGAGGAATGAAGGGCTCCCTTTTGCTTTTGGGAAGGAGCAGAGTTTTTCTTAAATGTCTAGAAATGTTTGCTGCAGTCTTACCTCATGAAAATGGTAATAGGACTTAAAAGAGGCTTGAATTAATTCAATTCCTGCTGTTCAGCACTTGGGTTATAAACACCTACATTTTTATCAGGGAAAACTAAAGTGTTTCAGTGAAGTTACTTCTTCAAGCAGTTCCAGCCCAGCCACAGAGGTCACAAAATCTGATCTGTGGAGACTTTTGCCATCATTTGAATTCATGGAATGGTTTG